TTTTTTACTAAACAAGGTTAGAGAGACGTTGCCGCAAAACCTCCATGATACGTACAAGAGTTCCTTGAAGTCATCATCCGTCCCGCTTGCTTCCAGTGGCGTCGTCTCTTCCAGCACGTCCCCTTGTTCTTCCTCTACACCTGCCTCTTCTCTCTCCTCTTCCTCCTCCTCGTCCTCCTCCTCCTCCTCTGCTGTTGCCCCTGATGCAACAGCCTCGTTAGAAGCTTGCTGTTGACTCACTTCCTCCGAGTTCAAATCTTCTTGTTGTGTTGTCTCGGCTGGGGGACTATCTCTGTCCTTTTGCTGGGTATTGTCTTTGTTCCTTCGTCGCACCTACAGCGAAATAATAAAAGATAACAATAGATAGTGTTTGTAAAGCCCAAAATTCCCGCTTTACAGCAAGCACTATGCACTCTACAGTCTAAATTATAACTGAAGTTGGAAACAGAACAATTCGCTTACTTAAAATTATTAAGTTCTATCTGACTTTTTTTTCGTCGTTTTGAGTCACTATGACCATGAGGTCAGAAACCAAACGTTTTAACCGCTCTATCAAAGCGTAAGATTATGCGGGTCGTTATCAAAATATTCCTTTAACAATTTGCATTAGAAAAGGCTTGACATGACATTGTAAAGAAACTCCACATTATTAACGCAAAATTTCTCAAAACTAGGAACTGAGCAGGCAGAACGTTGTCATTCTAGGGTAGCGATTGTTAGAATGGAAGTCACTTGTTATGACGTTCGTTCGCTTCTACCACGAAACGATACAAGCAAGTTAAACCACCACCACCACCACCACCCCTCAACCACCCCAATTGCGTACGCCATTTTGCACATCGTTATTTCGTTAGTGTCGCGTTTTGATATGGTACGAAAAAAAGCTGGTTAAAATACTCCAAAGGGCAGGTTGATCATACCGGAAATGGACGTTAGATGCGAAGGTTCTATCTCTTGAATAGCATTACAGTGCTGAAAGAGGCGATAAACCGGTATCATCTTCATACCAAAGAAGTTATATTTAGTACTAGAGTTCAGGGTAGAGATGTGCCCCACGTAAACGAACTGGGGCTGCATGTGCCCACTCTGAGACGCTGAACCTCAAGGGCAAGACATGCGCAGTTCAACAGACGGGTGAGTACTTTTCGAGACTCACGTGGAGGCGTCTCGGCGGTCTTAGGAGTAAGTCTACAAGCTTGCATTGAAATATGGGGACAGGGTGGTGTTTGTTATAATAGAGTTCGTGGGGAGCGGGGTGGGGGCTCAGATTGATCATATAAATTAGGGTGGAAGGCCCCTATGTCCGACACGTGTGACGTCACAGTTGCTAGCTCTAGTTCTACATATAAACTCTTTATCATCATACCAATATCGAGATATGTAACACGCAAAAACACACAAAAAACCTCAAACAAACCAAAAACAAACAAACAACAAACAAGCCAGTCCCAATGTGCCTCTATAAAAGTAATTATTCATATTTAGATCTCATTTTTCTTTATAAAAGTAAATTTTAAAAAGTAACTCACCTTTAGATCCTGTGACTGTAGAATGCCGTTGATTCCTATCCGGATCTTGTCTCCCTTCCGCAGCTGCTGTGCCACCTTACTGCCCACGGATCCTTCGATGTTGTAGTACTCTTCCGAGTTCTTGAAACCTAAACAAAAGTCATTGTTGGCAGTATTATTTGTGAGTCATCGTGGTGAAATCAGGTGCTCGTCAAAATAATGAAAATAAAGAAACCGGCATTTTTCTGGCCATTGAGCTTTTTTTCTCCGAATTTTCTTTTTAGGCTCAACATCTTTTATGTTAATTTAAAAACACATATTAATCTGAGTGCATTTTGCTCAAAAGCGTTGATGAAAAGTATTTTTTAAAATATATATGTGTAATTTTTTAAGTTTTCAAGGACATTCAAACCTTGGAAAGCATCATACTTTGGCGGCAATTTTCTCTCTAATTTTACCCCTGACAGTCTGACATCAAGCAACCCACACCTCCTGTAACTGTAACTATCTCGACTTTTATTTACGATAGATGGGTAATTTATTTTCATCAAACGCAAGGAAAATGAAAGGGCTTTAAGATGATACCAACAACTCCATTATTATCATTCTTATCATTATCATTATCAAATATTATCATAACTTACTGGCAAACGCGTCGATGACGCCCTCGCTCCCGTCTCCCGCGGCGCCACCAAAGGTCAGCCAGGCGTCTAAGGTTGGGGGGACATCGTCCGGCCGCTTCTGACCTCGCACGAACTTCCCAACCGCCAAGTTATTGTTTTCTGACCTCCAGTGGGAGTGGATCTGATTGGTCAGTTCTCTGCTGTTTCGGCTCGTCTCCAGCAAGTCTCTGTCCACTTT